ACCAGTGAACCTCAGCCTGGGCAGAAACCCTGAAGAACTGGGTTAATTCCCTCTGGACTAAAGACACAGGACTACGAGCCAACGAGCTGGAGATGTGGGAAAATAATTCTGCTGCATTCTGACAGGTTTCTGCACTTAGGGAGTATTCCTAAATGAAAAATAATAAATAAAAGGTCGCTTCTGATAAAAAAAAATATATGTATCAGGCTTTAGTAGAGGCTTAAACACATTATGTGGGTGAAGTGTGACACTACCACAGTTTGCATTCTCCCTCACACACAGTAGGCTTTCTTTTTTGTGCAGAGTGCATTAGTATGGCAATTCACACTGTCACAGTAGGAGTAATGCCAAAATGAGCTTTAACCTTTCTGTGAAATCCCACAGAGTTAATACAGAAGCGTGCTGAATCTCATTACACAAATCACTGAGCAGGATTAGGGATTTAGGAAAACAAAATACAAAAAAACACCCTATAAAATACTACATATATGCAAATTGCATTGTAAAACATATAGTAAAATTGACTGTATGCACAATGCAAAAATGAGCACTGAATATGTAAATGAAAGTGACTGGCATAAACAAACAAAGCAAAAGTCTGTGATTACTCAGATTACAGCTGTCTGAAGCGTAACTGACAGTAAGACGACTGACAGCTCACTCAGACTCAAGGCAGACGCTGATTACATCTCTTAAATCATATCCACTAAAAATAGAAGACACATTGTTAGCTTTTCCTCTGTTTGTAAACACCACTGGAGAAGGAGGGTAGGGCTTGGGGGCATAAACAGGCATGAGGAAAGCCATACATATCATTAGAGCCAAGCTGCTTCTGCAGTTTAGATAAAAGAAAGCCGAGATTCCTTTTCTCTCTCCTATCAGCTCATTCACTGACTGCAGCAGCGCATGCATTAATTCTCACTATAAGCTTCAACTAAACTACAAAGTGCACTCGCAATTTCTTTGCCTGACATTCTTTACAGCAGTTACACTGTTAGAAATAAAGGTTCTGTGCAGGTACATTTTTCATTCCTCAATGTACAAACAATGTAAATGGGGTACAAAGTGGTTTTAAGGTCCAACTGTGTACCTTAAATAAGTTACATACGTATTTGTACCTTTTCATAACCCAATGTTTTAAAACAGAATAATAAAACAAAAAGCCTGGAGTCGAGACGGGGTTTGTGGAATCAACACAACTTAGAAAATGTAATTTCAATGGATTATGGTACAATTATGTTCCCTGACTAAAGGTACTGAGAGGGGTACTGCTCCACTGACAGTCTTTTTCTGAGATTCTAGCAGACTGGCTGGTTTGGTCAGGTTCCATTCCAGAAAACCACTTAGCCATTTTTTGATCAGTAAAATGGCAAACGATTGCAAAATCTTAATAACAGTTCATACTGTCCATGTAAAAGCATGTATGAAAGTGCTGGCTGGATTTTACTGAAAGATTTCCTAGTGGAGGTGATTTATCATCATCAGCAGGCACATATATTTTTCATCCTTTCTTTGTTTACATTTTCATTTGTTTTACACTAACTGACGATTATTTTATTCAAAATTCCTCAACATACTAGTCCTTATAAATTTTCTGTCAAAATGGTGATTAACTATGTTATTTAATTACAGAGAAGCCTCAACAATTAAATATAATATCAAATTTTCAGTGTTTAATGTGTCCACTCTTCACCTTTATTACAGCTTCCATTCTTTTCAGGAGACTTGCTTTCAGTTCTTCAAAGAAATTTGCAGGGATATTTTTCTACACCTCCAAAGTTCAGTCTTAGAAGTTGGAGGCCTTTTTCTCCTTTTATGATCCCAAATCCCAAACACATGCAATGATGTAAAGTTCTGGACTCCGGATGGTCAGTCCATTGTTCTGAGCACACCGACAGCTCCTTTGTTTGATCTGCAAATTTTGTTCTTTTTTGTTGATCGCCTTTTCTCAGCCTCTTGACAGCTACACATATTTTCAGCGTTGAGTCATACACAGTGAGAAGCACTTATGGATTTTTTTTTCAGATCTGAAGAAACAGTGGAGTTTGATTTTCTCTTCTCAAGCTTTGATCTCTCAAAGGTGAAAGTTTTAAGTGCACTGTGAGAAGAAGTAAACGGGACTGTACAAATACATTTTTGTTCATGAAGGTATGAACAATGTACGTGTACAAAAAATGGTCTTAGCGTCCAATGGTGTACCTTAAATATGTTTTAAAGTTGCACTACATTCAGTTTCCCAGGGGAAAGAGGCATATTTGTATCTTTTCGTAACCTTGTCAGAAAAAAAAACAGAAAAATAAAACATATGGCCTGGAGTCAAGACAGGGTTGTGGTGTCAATGCAAATGAGAAATATAACTGCAATCAGATATGGTACAGTTATGTTACCTAACTAAAGGTACTGAAAACATACCCATTGACAGTACCACCACTGTAAGGGTTTAGTGGCTATTTTCTGAGAGTGTACTGTTTATCTTATAGTGACAGTTTTGGTGGCCTACCATGTCTTGTATGGTTGTTAGGAGTCCTATTTTCTCTATAACTTCTAATCATTTTCTGGACCCCAGTTTTGGAAAATCTTGATTTGTCTTTAAGTTTCCATTGATAATAACATAACCTGCTTATGCAAGTGGATCATCTTATATCAATCTTCTCAGAAATATCTTCTGTAAAATTAATAACTTGTACTTAATAGCCATTTACATAAATTAAAGGAGGTCTCTGACTTTTGAGTTTTGTATATATGTGCAATTAGTCTTATTTACAACTTCTTTACATCTCATTTATTTATTTTGGTATTTATTTATTCTACACCATGCATCATTACTCTCTAACCAACCTATGAGTAAAATAGCTTAGAATGAGCTGAACTGTGATATGCTCTCCTCTTGGCTACAATACATTTATTTTCAAAAACTCTTTCAAGTCTAGCTGAGCCTCTGTGATCAAAGCCTGCGCTGTCCACATCCAGCAGAGAAACCCACTCCTCCAGGGTGTGTGATGTTCCGTCAGGACATGATCCACCTGAGCCGCGAGCAAAAGAGAACAAAAAAAACCTAGAAACACCACTGGAGTTCATTTCTAACTGTGGTCCTCCACACTCATATAATGCCAAACAACACAAGCTGGAGCCCACTGTTCTGTGAGGTGTCTGGGCCACAGTGTGTTAGTTCTGCAAAGGTGTGGTTAACAAATATATTGGCTATTTTTGCTTTTTAATCATTTCCTCTCCTTTAATAATACAATTTCTCACTGTTGTTGTGACATTTATTTCAATACGTAATGAATGAAGATGAAAATGTATCCATTTTTATTTTGATGGTGTTACAAGATGATTTTTTTGGACAAGCAAACATATGAATAGGAATACACTTCACATTTAGTTGTCTTTTATTGTTACTTAAAAACTCCAGCAGCACTGCTGTGTCTGATCCACTCGTACCAGCGCAACACACACTAACACACCACCACCACATCAGTGTTACTGCAGTGCTGAGAATGATCCACCACCCAAATAGTACCTGCTCTGTGAGGGTCCATGGGGGTCCTGACCACTGAAGAACAGGGTAAAAGGGGGCTGACAAAGTATGCAGAGAAACAGATGGGCTACAGTCTGCTGATAAAATGGACAATGAGCGAAGAAACAAGGAGGTGGTCATAATGTTACGCCTGATCTGTGTATATATATATATATATATAAGTCAGTGGAATCAAACATTTTTCAAAGTAATCTGGGTGCATTTCTTTTGGTCCATTTATCATGAAATTTACACACAATGTAAAGGACAACAGGTATTTTCAAATTATGTCAAAAACTGAAAAATGGAAAAAACGGAGATACAAGGTTTTCTTTCAACAGCAGCGATAGATAGATAGATAGATAGATAGATAGATAGATAGATAGAGACAAACAGAGAAAGAGAGAAATATAGAGGAGGGAGAGAGACAAAGAGCAAGAAAAATGGAGACAGAGAGCAAGAGAGAGGTATATTCAGAGAACAAGAATGAGTTACAGAGAGAGAGAAGGAACAGGACAGAATGAGAAGCGATAGGAGAGGTATAAAGAGAGAGAGAGATAAAGAAAGAGAAAGAGAGAGAGAGGAACAGAAGGGAGGTAACTCCTAAGGGGGGAGGATGAAAGGCATTCATGATTCTGATGACTGTGGTTCTGCTGCTGCTGATAAGCAAACATCAGCATGAGGCCAGCCAGAGACCCAGAGACCCCCTCTCCACTCCATATCCCCCAAACCCTCCCATCCACCCACCCACACCCACACACCTTTCTTCATTGCATCCTGACTTAACAATCATCCACCTCCCACAGAGGAGCATGGAACAAGCACACTCTCTCTTCAGCAACACTGTTCTGTTTTACACAGTAAAAGCACTTACATCCCAGATGAGCCTCACATCCAGGAAATAGACACACGACAATCACAAAATCCCTGTTGGTGAATAAACTTACAACTTAAACAGTAATTGGTGGTGTCAGTGTATCTGAAGCAAATATGAAGTGCACGAAAAAGATTAATTAGAGATTTGAGAGTTGTGATGTGATTTCTGAGACTCTTGAGTTTGCTGAACAAAAAACATTCAACCTGCAGTAGAATTCTGATAAACGCTATAAAACAGTTGCTCAAGCACTTAAGGGATTAATCCCATAAACCATAAGGGTCTGTTTGTGGGTTCACAGCTTTGTTCCTCACTTTCTGACTACATAACTTACATATTAGTTTCATAGTAGTTACTAATTAATGCAAAGTAGTTACTGCATAGAACGTCTTAAGAAGAGTAATCCTAGCTTCAGTGGGAAAGAACAAGAGTTTAGACAGTGTCTCAATCAGATCACCTTTATAATTGCAACCATTCACAGCTACAATTACAGTACAGTACATATAAACAGCAAAACATACCGCCATTGGCTGTATTTGTCTGTGGCTTCATACTGTTATTTGTTTTTTCTTAATAATTATGTGACTCAGCATAACTGTACTTTAGTACCTGTAAATAGACACATTCTCGATGAGGTCGCTGGTTTCTGTGTCTGTAATGATGATGCCTTTAGGAGAGACAGTGAGGGTCACCTTCCGAAACTTCTTTGCACTGGCACGAGCCTGTCAAAGTCACAAAAAGCATAAACTTCAAAATCCATTAAATCAAATGATAAGAGTATAATCTCATTCATCCCTGAAAGGGCCATGTAATGGAAAACATTTTCCTCCCTTTTTAAATGAAAAACTTTTGTATGTTATGTAAACATTGTTATAAAACGTACCATTCACTGCCCAGTCCATACAATCTACATGGTACGTAAGCTGCAAAAAACAGCCCATGATTTCTCTATTTTTGTGATGTCCAAAACCCAGAGCATTGCATATATCTACCTATTCAGCCTAGTTCTGCCTGTCCTTGTTGAAGTTATAAAGCAGTGTTACAGCTTGAATTTCTTTTTGAATGAGGCAAAATACAGGGCAACTAATCAGAACAGAGATTATGTGTATACATCAGTCTTCAGGGCACAGTAACAAAAATTGCCTGTTTAATGTGAAAGTTTTAAAGACAGATTGGAAAAAGGTCAAGTAGAAATGAATTCTGACTGACATATCTATCAATACATATATACACATATGTACATATACACATATATACATATACTGGTCAAATATTTTAGAGCATTTTCAGTTTTTAAAGCCATTTAAGCAGAGGTTAAAAAAAACTGAAAGTTTCAGAGTTATAAAAAAAGCATTTTTCAGGGAACAAGTCATTGGTTAACAACCTACAACTGTTCAGCAGCAATAGAAAGATGAACGGAAGTTGATGCAAACAATGCTTACAGATGTCCCAACTTTTGATTACTTACAAACCCTCTGTCTGTGTAAAAGCAGCGTTGGAACAGTGTTACTAGAGAAGTATGTAGACTATATTGCACTGCAGGATGTAGGATATTGCTATCGTAATGGCAAGAAAAAGGCAATTAACAAAGGAAAACAGACAGACCATGATAACTCTTAGAAGTGTAGGTCTTTCCTTTAGCGAAATTGCAAAGAAAGCCAGAGTGTCTATGAGTCCAGTTTCCCACATCATCAAAAAGTTCCTGGTAAATGGAGGAAACTAAGCTTGCATCTTAGGCAGCTCACAGAACAACACCTTCAAGCACAGCTTATCACTGGTCAAAGTAGGCAAGTCTCAGTTTCAACTGTGAAAAAAAGCCTTCGAGCTGCAGGATTACTGACAGGTTGAGTGGCTGTTAGAAAGCCATTGCTAAGATGGCACAATAAGAAAAATTGGCTTTCCTGGGCTGTGCAGCACCGGCAGTGAACTCCTGAGGACTAGAAGAAGACCTTATTTGAAATCTTTGGTTCATCACGCAGGGTTTTAAGACAGTGTCAAGTGTGTGAAAGGATGGTTCCTCAGTGTGCGTGACACCAACTGTCAAACATCTGCAACAGTGTCGGTATAAACTTTCAGAACAATATTTTATTTCCAATATAGAAAGAACGCCTTGAGTATGTTTGTCTGTTATATATATATATATGTCTGTTATTAATGTTAGTCTTATTTACAAAATGTAGCAAAAATGTAGACAAAATTTTGTTAAAACAATTCCATGAGTTCTTATTTATCTTAAATTCTCCAAGAGTACACTGAGTCATGAAACTGCTGAAAAATTAGGTGTTCTAAAATTTTTGATAGGTAATGTATATAACCGATATGAAAATCTGCTTCCAATATTGATTTTAGGGAGCTAAAAATTTATACAATATATACAATATAACTTAACATTGTCAAAAATTAAATACATTCCAATAATGGCAGTTAAACAGTGCTTTAATGCTTGATTAAATGACTGATTTACATCAGTTCTCTTCATAGATTTTTGTGTTATGTTATCCTCATGCAAAGTTACATTTAGATAAACATGTTTTTGTTACCATTTTAACCATGATAATATTTAACATTAATATGTACCAGTTCAGCCTAAACTGCTGTAACAGAAGGGATGGTGATAGTAAGCTTTTCAGTCTCTGTATGGACTGGAATATGAGCATGAAACTATTAAATCTTCACAACTGAATTGTTTTTCACATTGCATGAGTCTTTTGATACAATAAAAAAAGTCGCCAGTTATTACTACCTGTGAAATTTTCACTGATACCAATGATGTGTCAATACTGGGCAGATATTAACACAGTGGTATGCAAAAGTTTGAACCCAGGCAAATTACACAGGTTGTTGATTGTTCATGCTCTGCAGGGAACAAACTTAAATATGTTCTTTTCAAATTTTATGAATTTTAGTGCATATTTTCTATTTATTTGATAAGTTTAAAATATTGGGAATATACACACACACACACACTGATGTGCCAAAAATCATGGGACAGGAACTAGTATTGTGTAGGTTCCCCTCTAGCCTGGTGAAGTGCAGCAACTTGACATGGCATCAATTCCACAAGTGGACGGAAGACGTCTGGAGGGATGTTGAGCCATGTCGTCTGGATAGCCACCCACAGCTCTGTGGTATTTGTAGGTGTAGGATCTCGGGTGCGAATGGACCTCTCAACCACATCCCATAAATGCTCAATTGGGCTCACGTCGGGCAAACATGAAGGCTACACTATTCGTTGGAACCAACCAGAATGCTCCTCAAACCAAATCCGGACAACTTGGGCCCAACGGCATGATGCATTATCCTGCTGGAATATCCCATCATTGTGGGGATACATGAAGTCCATAAAAGGGCTGCAAATGGTCACCAGGAGGGTGAAGGCTAGCACAAGCTTCTTCTTCTTCCAAGTCACATGAAGCGCCACCGCATTTTTTCAAACTGCTGCTGATGCCACATTATTGGACAGCTGAACACGCTTGGAGGAGAACACTAACTGCCAGTTCTGTTACGTCAGCTGACAGACACCCGCTCTGGCTGGCATCATGCTTAGTGACTGGGGGAGAGCTAGGGCCATCGTACCCACCCAGAGAGAGCGAGGCCAATTGTGCTCTCTTGGACTCCTGGCCAGGAATGGCTTCCAGAGAATTGCAGAGGATGTGTTAACTTATTTTCAACAAAACATATCATTTGACCAGGGCGGCCCAAACTTTTGCATACAGCTCTATTGGGCAGGCCTTAGTTAGAACACTACTGCAGAGTGGATAATGAAACAATTCCAATAGGAGAGGAGAGAGGGGGGATATGGTTTTGTTCAAAAGCAGAGGAGGGTGGGGGGGGAGGTTCTTTTCAAGGACAAAAAGAAACAAGAATATCAGGCAGACCATAACTGGAGGGTCTGTGAGTGCCCCAGAGACAGTAGTCAGCGTGTATAGGAAAAAAAGTTGAGAGAGATGAAGGCTGAAGCTAGCGTCTAATCTCCAGCTCACAGAATCTGCCAGCTTCAGTTTGTTTGGAGTAAAACTTTCCCTGTCATATACGTTCTGCTGTGCCACAAGGAGAAAACAAATCTGCTGCTGTCGCGCATTCTACTGTCGTCTCGACTCCCTCTGAGAATAAGCTTTGTGTTTAGGAATGGGGTAACCTCAACTTCAGAAATAAACAAGTATCCCTTGTAATAAAATTTAAGTCGCTCAGTTTCCAAAGGAATAGAGAGACAATTGATGGCTTCTTTTTTTCTTTTTAAAGCAGATCAATGCAAGTAATCCCAGGTTGGCAAGTTGTGTCCTGGTGCTAATTTAGAAGTGCATCTTGTGCTATTAGGCTCTTTTACAGCTTTGCTGTTCTCACATGCTGAGCAGCAAGAGTGGGCACGTGTGTAGCTCCGTGTATCCATGTGTCTGTGTGTCTGTATGTGGACACTGACACACAGCATGTGGAGTGGAACCACAGCAATGCACGCTCTCTGAACAATACATTGTGTTTCAGTCTTTTAGTATCCTACTGAGATTTATGGAACCAAATCTGAGTGTTTTCTGGTGACTTAATTGACCTTCAGGAGAACAATGGCATACTGATTAAGTAAATTATTCCATATACATATTCCTATCAGTGAAAATACTGAGGGAAAGGAAATACAGGTTTTGCTTGTTCATTTGGTGCATACAGTCAGTATTATTACACCAATGAGCCAAAACATTACGGCCATTCAAAGATTAAGTGAATTACATTCATTATCTCATAACAACAGCCCATGTGAAGGTCTTGGATATATTAAACGGTAAGCAAACAGTCAGTTCTCATAGTAGACATGATGGATGCGAGAGAAATGGCCAGGCATAAAGACCTGAGTGACTTTGACAAAGACCAAGCAATTGTTGGGTTTGGAGCATCTCTGAAATGGTAAGGCTTATGGGTGCTCCCGGTCAGCACCTGCTGACAGTGGTCCAAGGAAGGACAAACCATGAACCGACGACAGGGTGTTGGGTGCCCAAGGCTCATTGACGCACAAGGGCAACCCCACAAAAGTGGTTTTAATGGGCATGGAAGCACCAGAACTGAACCTTGGAGCAATGGAACAATTTGCCTGATCTGAAGAGTCCCATTTTCTTTACATCACAAGGATGGCTAAGTACATGTATGCCATTTACCTGGGAAATGAAAGCACCAGGATGCACTGAGGGAAGAAGATAAGCTGGTGGAGGATGTGATGTTCTGGACAATATTCTGCTGGGAAATCCTAGGTCCAGGCTTTCAGGTGGACGTCAATCTGACATGTGCCACCTACCTAAACAGGTCCAAGTACACCCCTTCAGGGCATTGGTAGTCCCCGATGGCAGTGGCCTCTTTCAGCAAAAAAATGCACCTTTCATAACTGCATACATTATTCAAGAATGATGTGAGGAACATGATGAAGAGTTCAAGGTGTTGCCTTGGCCTCCAAATTCAGCAGATCTCAACCCAATCAAGGATCTGTTGAATGTGCTGGAACAACTCCAATTAGCAGCAGCTCCACCTCACAACTTACAGGACTTAAGGAACTGCTGCTAACGTCTTGGTGCCAGATACCACAGGGCACCTTTCCAGGTCTTGAGTCCATGCAGGCCATCAAAACAGCTCTGAACCACAGAGGACTGACTGCACATTAGGCAGTTATATATCATTATACTTTGGTTCATCAGTGTATGTTTCCTTCTGGGTGATTTATGTCAGATCTGTTACCAGGTGTTGGGGAAGCTACACCAATTAACTAGCAGCAAAAAAGTACCATAGAGACAAAAGCAGTTAATTGCACAACAAATACTGTTAGAATGTAAATCACACCAGAATCTATTTGGAAGTGGACCAAGAGCGACCTCCTCAGCTGCTTGCATGCAGCGTTCAGCAGCGTTTTCACTTGTTCTAATGAACCATGTTAACAAACAATCGAATCAGGGTTTGTTTGAACAAATCAAACCTGTCAAGTGTGAGCATGCCCTAAAGCTTAGCAACAAAACTCTAATAATAATAAATAATTATGAATAATAAAATAATAAATAATGTAATAAAAGATCTCATTGTATTATGTAAACATTATGAACATGTACTGTCCACCCAGTCCAGACCGTCCATATATGGCAATTAAACTGCAAAACTGTCTATTTTGAATGAATCATAGTTGTGATTTCACCCTGACATAGTACTTTTACTCGTGACTGCCTGTTTAGTCAGTGGTGTAATTGCCCTTTCACGTTGTTGTGATGAATGTTGTTATTGGATTGAAATAAGGGGAAAATGAATAAACATTGTGTTGTTTGATGTACGACTGCATTTCTATCTAAATGATTCAAAAATGTAAATAAAAAATGAAGTATGACTGGTTTTAGTGTGTAAAACCACACAAGCATTATAAGTGGACTTCAGGGGAAAACAATTTAAAATTGCTTGACAGCGCTGACAAGTGCTCCAGCGGGAGGCATTTTATAAACTAGCACCCAACTGGTACCATACATACAAATATGATTCATTCAAATTCTAATGACCCACTGTGCCCTGTGACACATAACTGATAACTGACCGTAGTGACAATCCTCCTGATGGCAGCAGCCGCCATGTCCTCTCCTTTAGGCTGGCCCACCAGCGTCATGCCCAGGTACTTCACATTAAACACCATCCCCTCTAGAAGGGTTTCCTTAGTGTCCGTCCAGTTCTCTGGAAGCTCTGAAAGAAAGAAAAAAACAGTAGATGCTTTTTAGATGCAAGCAGTCACTCTAGTTTGTGGAGCTCTTCCAGCACAAAACATCAAGGGCTCTTTTTCAAGCAGTATTATTGATTAGTGTCTCAAAATCAACATCTCTGATGACATAAAACACAGATAACAAAGCATAATGTAAATATTATGGTCCATTTAAGAGCAGGAAGCAGACACTGAACATTAAAATTCTCCATGCTTGCATGTTCTTTGCAGCAAGTGATTGTAAAATGTGTGCCACACAGCAAGCTTTAAATAGATCCATATTCCATTTGGGAACAGGACAAAAGTCTAAAGGACAGCAAAGCTGGATTCTGATTCAGGACAATGGACTGATAGGTAACTGAAGGAAACACAGTCACTGCTGTTATTAGTCAATACAGGAATCTATATATTGAGTTGCAAGACATTGTAGTTGAAGTGTCTGAGTACTGTTGAGATGTTATAACCAATCTCATTAGGATAATCTCTACATCCCTCACTGACTGTATGACTGTGCTGTATGTTTTTAAGTAAGTGCAGATGTACATAATTTGCTTTGTTCCAAGACCTCCAGAAGGGCTTATACATAACATGAAATGTGCATGAATGCACCGCATGAAGCCTGAGATACTGTTTGATAGTTTTGAAATGTTTGAACTGTTTTATCTATTCGTAGTGGAAAGGTACATTATATGGCCAAAAGTATGTGGACACCCCTCCTAATTACTGAGTTCAAGTGTTTCAGCCACATGCTGCTAACAGGTGGAAAAACTCAAGCATATAGCCCTGCAATCTCCATAGACAAACACTGGTTGTAGAATGAGTAATACTGAAGAGCATAGCGACTTTAAACATGGCACCTTTTCCACAAGTCCTGCTAGCTCCGCCCTAGTCCTACTGTAAGTGTTATTAATGTGAAACTGAAGTGTCTAAAAGCAACAACATCTCAACCACTAAATTAATAGACCATGAAAATTCACAAAGCAGGGCTGCACAGTGTTGAAGCGCTGACCCCCTATCTTTTGTTGCATGACTTACTATAGAGTTTCAAGCTGCCTCTGGAAGCAACATCAACAGACAAAACTGTTCATTGGAAGCTTCATGAGAGGGGTCTCCATGGCCGAGCAGCTGCACACAAGCCTAAGATCACTATGCGCAATGCCAAGCATGTGCTGGAGTGGTGTAAAGCTAGCTGGTGTTCTCTAGCATGATGAATTGTGCTTCACTATCTGGCAGTGTGATGGACAAATGCCTGGATGCCTGGAGAACGCTGCCTACTGTAACGCTGCCTGTAGGAGAGATAATGGTCTGGAGCTGTTCTTCAGGGTTTTGCTAGGCCCCTTAGTTCCAGCGAAGGGTAATGTTAATGTTACAGAATAAAAAAGACATTTTAGGCAGACATATGCTTCCAACTTTGAGGCTCATATGCGTGCAATGTATAGGTGTTCACATACTTTTGTCCATATAGTGTACATGTGGGGCATTGTAAGACAAAATAGTTCTCAAAGAAAATTTCATTTTTTTCAGATTCACCATTATTTTATCATTATCAACATTACCTATAAAAACTCAAAAGACATGCATACATTCACTGGTACATTGTATTTTCATATAATGGAAATATAAAGTAAATAAAATGGGCGTGACATCACAACTCCTGGTTCCTATCAACCCCACTGTAAAGAAATCTGACTGGCTAAGCCTCTCTATAATGTACTATTTCATAACTAACCACCCTGAATGACTTTGTTTATGTCTATCTTTGAATTGCGCAGAGAATTAGAGAAATCAGTGGAATTCTGCATTACACACCATGCATTCTTGGAAGAACCTTTCCGGAAATCAAGGTTTCTGGATGATGTTTACAATACTGTGTAAATGTTCACTTTGGTGATATCAGGAGAAGGAAAATGAGCTATGTTAGGTATGTAAGACATTCTTTTGGCATACTAGTTCTCAGGATGTATACATTCATCAGCTTCAATAATGGAAGCCTGAACATAAATGGTGCAATGATTTCAAAACAGTTTCGAAATAACTGAAAAAAAGCTGTAGTTTAAAACAGTATATCACAATTTTAAACAGTATCACCAATATGCCTCAAGGCTCTCATTTCATGGAGCCAATGTCTGTGATCAAAACAAGGCATCTGTTTGCATCCTATCTATTCTTGCATTGTTTATGACTCAGTTTTATAAGATCACTGTTTTGCACAAAGACATACCACTTTGCAAGCTTTTATTTTGAAATAATGTGTGGTATGTAATTAGAGCCCAATAGAATTAAGACTTTTGTGACACATAAAAATTGAATGAAATCTTGACCTCATACTGAACATTCTAAATCTGAACACATATATCATTACAGCCCTTTTAAACACCTGATACATATCTATTACATATTTGGAAAAAAAATCGTGATAACATATTTTTAGTACCTTCCAGCACAACTTCAAAGACACTCTTTTGAGGATATTGCTTATGCTTATGAATACCTAATGACCCTACTTTTGCTGTTGAGGCAATACTCCCTTAAATACACACATTACAGATGGCAGTCTTTCTTAATAGCCACAGTGTCTGCCAGTGAGAAAAGATACTTCATCCAACACGTTAGTACCAAGAGTGTTGCTCTGACAGAGCTGTGTTCTTGGCCATCTGGCCCTCCCATTCTGCACCAGCTGTTTGGAGCACGAAGAACAGGCCTCGCATTGCTTCTCTTCTCTGTGGGTGCGAATTTATCATCCACGCCAAAACGTGTATTTAACAAGCAGAAAAAACACTTTTAATGTAGACACACAGACCACAACCAGCTGTGATGGCTCATTCTAAAAGTAAAGTGCTGTGTTCCTGAGAGGACTAAGAGAAATGGCCTAATATCTTTAGCCAATTACACATCCTAGTGACCATAACTGCACACAGGCTGCGCTAGAACCCAAAACCAAACTGCTGACAAATGGAAAATCTGAGCCAAGAAAATACTTTGTCCCAGCAAAGGCATGTCCCCCCCCAAACTCAGGGGACACTATCACACCTAGACCAGACTTCACAAATGAATTATTGAACAGATCAGTGTTGATGCTCCGGGTCTTTGCTCAGATTACTCCTGGAAGCGAATGGCATTTGCTTCGCTTCAAAACCCTACGCTGAGTTAGTGAAGGAGTGAGGCCAATGAAAGTGACAGATAGAAATGACAGTAATCGCATTTGAGCAGGTTTATAACAACAGGAGGTTGCTGTAGACAGCATTAGGAGTCTGGTGGGGGGGGCAGCATTTTTTTAACAGTGTAATTTGATGTCTGTGTTGGTGCATGTGTGTGTGTGTGTGCGCGATAGGGTGATCTAATTTGCTGAAACGTGAAACAAGATTACCAGGAGCGCAGATACTGTAACCACATTTGTGTCTGCATTAGACAAATGCTATGGTGCACTTTCTCAAGCTGATGCTGTTATGGTGGAGAAATTTGCAAGACTAGGGCCTAAATCAATGATAATGTTTAGAAGCACAAATAGTAATATCACTAAAAGGAACCCTATGTTTAAAAGTTATTGCAAATTAGCCTTTTTGGTGATATGAGTATTTAAAACTGGCCCAAATGAAGGAAAACTAAATTTTCCTTGTTTTTTTTTAATAAAAGAGACATATAATGAACACATTACTAATGTTTCAAAATGTACCATACACTTCCCAGTACACATGGTTCATTTATAGAAAGCTGCAAAATAGCTATTTTTTTATTTGCTGTGATGTTACCTAAACCAACAGTTACACATGTCCACCTATTCAGCCTTTAGCAGCTCAGCTCTGCCTATTCGCACAGAAGTTATAAAGAGTGTTTCATCCTGTACTGCTTTTTAAATGAGGCACAATACAGGACAGCCAATTCCAACAGAGATCATTCATATATACCCAAAGGCAGCTAGTATAAATGAGCCCTCTCTCTCTTTCAAATAAATAAAAGACATTAAAATAAGGTTTAATTTTGGCTGTCCACATCATTTTCAGCTGATTTTTTTAGACTTCTGTGGACCCAAGAACTATAGCACTACCAAAAGGGCTACAATACAAAAATGACCTGGTAAATTAGGGCCAAAGCATTATGTTCACACAAGCTTTCTGTGATTCTGAGGCAAATACAGTTTAAATACAGTGTATGTTGTGACATATAACATTTAGTGATATTATATGTCACCCTAGATTTGTGTTCCTTTTGGGCTAACTGTTTAAAACCCATAACATCCAGCTCTGCCTTCCCACAGTCTACAGTCAGTCCCTAGTAGGTCCAGTTCTTAAAATGTGATTTGCTGAGACATGTGGAGACACTGTAAAATACTTAGAATAAATACTGTAGAATAAAGAATTCTACAATTACAAAGAACTTTACAATTTTGTTTCTGATATCTCCACCAGAAGCAACACTGTTTTTGTAAATGTAAAACAGACTCTCACAGCTTGCAGCCAGGATAAAACACTGCATTTACTGCAACTAGACTAAGCTCTACAGTTTAGCTTGTTAACTTAAAATATAATGTTGTTGTAAACCTAAATAAATATTGCATCTGTCTATGTGTGTACATTTGTTTTGAAGGCAGTTTTTGCCCTGTAACTTTTTTGAAAAAAACTTGCAGTCACATTACCTCATGTCACAGCATCAATCACCCAAAGGAGGAGACCGTAAAATCTCATGTTGCATTTAATAAAATGTGCAATGCTACCGTGAAATATACTGTGATTGTTGTGTTAGCTTGCTACAGTCTTTAGGTAATGGTACACATCAACATTTAAACATTTTAAACATTAAAAAAGTGTGACTAGTAGCTAGCTGGACAGCTCATTCCATTCTTTTATTGCTGTCGCTGGGAAGGGGCTCTAAAATGTGATGATATAGTGTGTGTATTATTGATAGGTATACTTTTTAGCCCTCTCTTCCAACATTATGGTGAAAAAATATAATGAACTACAAAGAAAATGTAGGATATGGCCCATTT